TGGGTACCATACATACTGGTCAGTGTGAACATACAGAGTTTTAACAGAATGGTGCACCGGTACATGTACATGTAATGTGTGCACAAGTACCAGTACGTGAACAATACATGTACATGTACAATGTACAACATGCACATGTACCAATGGAAGTACATGTACTGTATGGTGCATGCACCTGCCAGTAGTGTGCACTGATGAAGCATAAACATATACTGTACATGTACATCGAGCTGTTCCAAGTACTGACTGAAAGTGATGAGCAATCCTCTGCTCACAATTGCCCACTGGCCAAACACCACAGCCAAGCCAAGAAACACTTCAGGCCCCCCCCCACAATTATAATGGGGCAGTAGATTGATGAGTCAGGAACGTATCATCCAAGCTACTGTACTAGAACATGTGCGTACACAGGTATGCATGGGCACCGTGTGTACACGTACATGTACATTTGTACATGTCTTGAGTCTTGAGGGAGGACAAAAAGGGTGCGATACAATTACGATGACACCTGTGTACATGTAAGTACACGAACAATATGTACATGTACATGATATGACATGTATACCAGACTACATGTATAGCACAGCATGTACATGTACATGTAATCTACATGTACATCTACAATGTACATGTACATGGTACGAAGTAATTACAGTACATGTACATGTACATGCACAGAGTACTGATACAAGTACCCTCCCTGTATCTGCACTGTGAACAAAGACTCAAAGCATCCAAATACATGTATGCTTTGATTAAAAGTCCATGCCGATTTCACTGAAGGCCACAGTCCAGAAGGGTCAGTCTACAGATATCTACTCAATCCAATGATGAGCTTATTTTGTTTACATGAATGCATGTGTTCATCGGTCAGAACAACAAGAATGTCAAAGCTGGACACCTTTTAGAGAACTCTAGCCAAAATCTGCAAATGTTTTCCATGGGTCTGGAGTTTTTACTTGCCTACTTGGGCATGTCGATGTAAATGCACATTGTACTGTACATGTGTACTTTGACATGTTCTGTATTAGCCCACACTACATGTACATGTACATTTATGTCAACTGTATGTACATGTACATGTTTACTTTCCATTGACATGTGTGTAGTCCCCACGACTTCATGTACAGAACAAGTGTGGGCATACATGTCACAATTCAAGATACATGAATGTGCATGAGAATATGGTGTACTGGTAAAATAAATAAAGTGCATAAAAACATGAACAGGGTATGCAAATCAGCAAGTCCATCAGCAAGTCCATCAGCAGTCCCCGTTTCATTCCACACTTAAATGCAAAGAGTTCTTTCCTCTGAAACTGATAAGCTTAAGAAAACAGAAGAGGTCAGGTCAAGATGGGTAGTCAAGCTCAATGTATAAAAGGGCGGGCGACAGGATGCGGGAAGTTCAATCAATTACTTCGGTACTCAAGTTGTCACGGCATTTCACACTGGTTTTAATAACGTGTCCCAGACAGCTTTCCAATGCATTATTATACACATGTACACGTACTTAATAGCATGCTACATGTACATGTACCATGTGTACGGTATATCCATAGGATGCCCAGTGCAAGGCTAAAAATGCAATGCATCCAGTAGCTATTTCATTTTGTTTTTCGAAGAAAGGAGAAGTGTCATTGGTCACACTATGGGTAACTCATTTGGGTGTCTACCGGTACACTGGTACACGATCTCATCCTGCTGTTTATCCAGTTCCAAAATGTGAATCATACATGTACCGTGTAATACCATGTATGTGTATGTACCGTGCAATACCATGCGTGTACATGTACTGTACATGTACATTTACATGTACATTGTACCTATTCCTCCATGGTCATACATAATGGTAATTGGTATCCTAACTAGCCAGGGCTATCGACTATGCCCTAAAGGTTTTGGCTGTTTGTATTGCTGTGCCTTCAAAAACCAGAAACACTCTGTTCCACAGGCAATAGGGGTCAGGTTTCATTTTGATTGAGAATCTGAAATCTTTGGATTAATTAGGGTTTGAATGTGTCAACTGTGACTGTACGTGTACATGTATAAGGCTGCTGTTCCTTGCCCACTGAAGTTCCAAATGAAAGGCACAATACATGTAGAGATTTCCACTTGATGTAACATGACAGGCAAAGGCATTTCAGGAAGCCTACCATTATAATTGTATAGATAGGTACCACGTCTACGTGGGCGTACATGTACATGTACATGTTTGAATCTGTATATTTCTACAGTAATTTCATGTAGACAAGAATGTTGAGAGCCTTTGAAAGCCTGCTCGTTTCAGTGCACATACATGTACATGTAGTATCTACATACGTACACTGTATGTAAACTGAACACTGACCATCAAAAATTGATGAACTGAAAATCCTCTGATACAGGAAGGCAGGATGGTGAAACACCCATTGTCAAATATTTACATTAGTACACTGTATGTGCACAGGCAAGGACATGCCAATACAGTATGAGGGGGTGTGGACAACCAGGTTATCGAATGAAGTCCAGAGAAAGAACGTTGCCAAATCACCCATTTCAATGATTCAGTTGGTGGTACTCCCTGGGGAAGTGATGGGAACGACATGGTTAAAAGAACACAACAAAATCAAAGAACTGCACATGTACATGTACATGTATGGTACCTCCAGCTAACACACACAAAGCTAGCCGTGCCAATGGGACCTTTACACTCACTGCCCACTTACATGTATGGTACACTGTACATGTACTTCAGTTCATTTAATAAAAAACCGATCTTGCATTCTGTGGCTTTTATTCCCTCGAAGCAATCTCAGAGTGAGTTAATGTCAGTTAATGTACATGTATATGGGTACAAACGGTTATTCCAGAAATAAGGGGTCCATTTTTGGGGGGTCCCTGTTACATCTGGCGTATGATTTTTTAAGTTCTGAACACACTTTCTAATTTCCAAGAGAAATGAATTTATGCAAATTACCCACCAAACAAATAGTAATAGTTTGAAATCAATTGCGGTGATATTTTAATGTCAAATAACAAAGGTCAAATGTAACACGGACACACAAAAAAAGGTCCCACTTTTGGACCCCTAATTTCTGGAATTACACACATGCACATGTACGTGTACGTGTGCTTACAATTCACTGAGTTAATAACAAGAATGAGTGTGGGAAAGCCCAAGAGGCGTGGTAACTGATGGGAGGAAATCCAGGAGGATGTTGAATACACCTGTACACCACATGTAAGACACTGGACAACTGGCAAGGTTGACATGGTTGAAAAGTACCGGTAAATGTACATCTGGGCATCTTTACGTAAATATATACATGCATGTACATGTACATGACACTGGACTTTCACCCATGATGTAGACACTACATGTACATTGTACCTGAAATTTTGCACTGCATTGTATTAAAATGAGATGTCTGGACAGAAATATCACTACACACTTTATCTGGGGTCAGCTGTCATTTTCCAATCCATATCTTGCATACCGGTAATTCCAGATATTAGGGGTTCAAAAGTATGATATTTTTGTGTCCCTGTTTACATCTGACCGTTGTTATTTGATATGGAATATGCCCAGAATTGATTTCAAACTACACACATGTATTACTATTTGTTTGGCAGGTAATTTGAATTACATGTAATTCATCACTCTTGGAAATTAGAAAATGTGTTTTGAACTTAGAAAAGCACATCTAAGATGGGACAGGGACACCAAAAAATGGACCCCTAATTTCTGGAATTACCCAAGTATTCAAACGCAGCACAAAAAGCTGAAACTTCATGTAACATGCTTTAACTCGTAAAATTGTAAGCTCTCTACAAGCTTTTTGGTTTATCTGATTGGAAATGGTTGGAAAGCAATTTTTACAGCCAAACTTGACACGTAATACTGTGAAAGACCACAAGTACATCATTAACATTCTAATTACAGAAGAGTTGTATAATAAATGTAGTCTACATGTACACGTACATGTATCACACTTTTCTTCAAATTGACCAATTTGCAGAGTCAACGCCCTTGAGACTTTGATTTTAATGACAAAACCTATTCTCACCAAGATCAGCCAGCAATACATGTATCAGCACATTAAAGGATCCATGAAGACCTCCGTGGACAAACTGTTCATTGTTTAAAATATTACCAGTATGCTAATAACACCACGTAAAAATGGAATAAAATTCCCTTTGTAGTGGTTAAATTTGACTGACTCCTCAAACGAATGTTTTAATCATGACAAATGATAGCGTTATGTGTGACGTACCGTACATTTGAGAACCCACAATTACCAGTATAGTTAAGCAGTCTATTGGTGCATCTGGAACAAAGGAACATGGACACTGGACACACAGAATTTACAATGCCCGCAGAATGTTCTAACGTAATATACAGTACCAATTGGGCAATTGCATAACATGTTGGTGTCGTGGTGTATACATGTATGTACGTTGTACTAGTACATACACCTGTACATATATGTACAGTAGATGTAAATGGGGCATCATGATCCATACACATGATAAATAGCCCAGGCCGATTTGGAAACATTTCTTACCCTTTGTCATTCACATTTCATAAAAGTTCCTCTTTGTCTTTGTTCACAGGCTTTTGTTGATTTCCCAAAGATCATGGGAGCGGCGTCTGACTTCAGCAATTGTACGTGTACATGTGCGTGATGTTCAGAAGAAAGCACTGTGGCTAGATATATGCACTGCACAGTTTGAAGCTCGCTGTTTGTCGTGACCATTTGGCTCTGGTCGGCCTGACTTTCGATGTCCAAATTCATCTAAAATTTTGCTTCAGTTGGAAAGTTATGCAGGCTTGTTCCATTTTACAGGTGTTGAAGCAGCCTGCGGCAACACATCTGATCAGCATGATCTCTGAAAAGCCCAAAACTTGGACTGAATTTTTCGAACTCGACCCAAGACAAGCACTGACGCGCGCTGGCAGTGTGTGATTACAATTACATGTATCTTCTCAAATGAATGTCATAGATATGCAAATTTTCTATGTTTATATGATGCCACTACCGTTTCACAAAATAAAAATGTTGGCAAATGCTCATGTACATGTGCACACGCAAGAGAATGGTATAGTGGCAGTCATGATGTCTTCTCAAATTAAAATGTACACAATCTTAACCCTAACCCCCAAGGATGTACGTAAAATCGTATTGAAATGGGAAGATTTCGGACTGTTAGGGATAATGCACACAGCTAATGCTAGATTCAAATCATAACTCCTCTTGACCTGACTATGAAGTCCAGGACACAGACAACAAAAACTTTACTCCCTTCAAACACAGTCCAAGTCACAAGTCAGACTGTTCTGGTAAGTCTTGACTCAGGTTCTCGTTTCAAGACTTTTCCAAGCCTTGGGTTGTCTTTGGCTTAGTCTAGTTTAGGAGACTGGTCAACATACGATATGTGTACATGCCTACCTTCAAAGAGGGATCTGGGCATGATAAATCTTTGAATATGAGGCCAAAGCTTACGCTTTTTTCCCTTGATGTGGACTAAGGAAGGGGGTTCCAAAAATCCTCAAGCCTGAGAGTGAAGTGGAAGCTGGAAGAGAAGCCAAGATTTAAAAGAGGTCCAGCTCACTTCATTGGCCACTGACCTTGTTTGGTTACAACGATCTCACCGTTGCTAGGTCTGGTATACCACAAGGAGAAGCACGAGTCAAGCCTGCCATTGCACAAGATGCTCTTGTTGTCTGGCAGCACAATGCCACTGACCTCATCGACCTCAATTCCTTCAACAGGACTCAATTTCTCATTCCTGTAGACACAAATGTAGCCCGAGGCTTGGGAGAGGAGCAACCCTGTGGGGAAATGAAGAAATGTGACCCAAAATCATTCATGGAAGGCATGTGAGGTGATATTCCTAACTGCCTTTCAATACTGGTATCTTATTAGGCTACAAAATACCATTACACATACATGTACACCCATGCATGTACCGGTATCAGGCATACAACTTGGGATAAAAAAAAAAGGACATTCTAATTTTTACGAGACTTTGTTCAGTGTTTTTCAAATTTCAAGAGGTGTGAAGTAAAACCAAGGACATCAGCTAATCAGACGAAAAGTTCCATTCCTGATTTATATGTCAAAGTGCGTGTACCATGTGACCACATGGTTTTCCCAAGATCGGTCATCATTTCGGTGGGTAATCCACTGATTTAGAGACTGCATGTTACACATTGTAAAGTAAAGGTTGCCTTTTCCTTTCTCACGCAAAATAACCCTGAATGCTTCAAATGGCAAAATGGTCACTACAATCATCCTGATTTAGCACTGGGTGTTAGCTCTGTGTTTTTCCCATTCTTTGTGGCATTTATCATTGCATTGAATGCTTTTTTACAACCAGAATACTGTGCTCCATGCTGTAATTTTTACCTACAGGTTACCAGCCAAAACCCCATGCGATGTACATGTATATTGTTTTGGAGTGGTATTCAACTGTGTTTGGTTAGCATGATACATTGTCATCCGATCACATAGATTTTGAGCAGCCTTTGTTTTTTTAAGCAAGGTTTTTGCGCTCAAGCAAATTTTGTGCTTAAGCAGTTCTATGAAATTGGCTCCAGGTGAGCGCCCATGAGGAGTGCAAGTTACACTTACATGTAAGTACACACAAGTACTGAAATGGAACTGTCACATACATGGTAGGTGACGTACACATTTACATATGCATGTGTACATAGACTAGTACGTATGCATGAGCATGAGCCCTGGCTACCCTGCTAAATGCACAACATGAAAAGACGGTAGCACACTGCACACATACATGTACATGTACCTGCTGCTTTTCCCTTACCCTGAAATTTGTAATAATTTTTTCCCTTCCAATATGTACTATACAGACAAATACTTGGTGAATAAGTGAATACCTTGATTGCCTAAGATGTGAACAACACACAAACGTTGGGCTTTGCAATGACATTAACAGTGAAACAGTCCTTCCAGAAAGGGAACCAAACATACCTGAACATATTATTACATGATTAGCCATCACATCTGGAACCGTGGAAGTAAGGATACAATGTTTGACTCTAATCTCTAATTCTAGTCATAGACAGGGAAACGGTTGCTTCATCCCCTTCCACAAGCGTGCTTGTGAAATTGTGTCAAAGAAAAAGTTTACTTACCAAATGTTAGAGTGGAGAACAGAACAGGACCAAAAATAGCCATTTCACTTTAGCTGTGTTAGATGGTTACTCATCACCTGCAAAAAATCCAACATTTGGCAGACATTGAGGGGAAAATGTCTTCCATTATAAACTTGAAGCCTATCGTGAGTCGTGGAGCTGCCGGAGGTAAAACATCAGATCCCAAAAACATCTGTGCATGTGCTAGGCACACAGTCCAAAAGCATACCGCACCAGTAATTTCACATACATGTACATGTGTCTGTCATGTCTGTAGCATGATGTACATGTCAGTGCTGGTCAAGTCCCAGTACTTCAGTAGCATCAACAAGTGTTCCACACCCTACACAATTTGTCATCACTAACATGATTAAGACGATAGTGAATTTCAGTGTGTCAGATCATGGTCAGATAGGGGAAAGGAGAGGAGCTTCAATGGAAAGGGATAATACCATGACTCAAAATACACCAGAATATAAGAGTAGGCCTTAATACTACTGCTGCATGCAAAAAATTTGAAAATTAAAAAAGGGCATTCTTTGCACCATGAAAAATTCCCCCCACAAATAAGTAAAAATCAATGTTCATTTCAATACTATAGTTTTAATCACCCTTTCCTTGATGGCATCATGTGTATGCATGATGTCATGTGAATGTACTGTACATGTATGTAGGCTATTAATTATGTACAGGCATGACAGGCGCATATACATACTACATATGTGCATGTGCGCTTGGGCAGCATGGCAGTGATTTCTCACTTGATCTCAAGATCATGAACTGAGGCCTAGGCCTATGGTTAACATTTCCAAGGTTGGAACTTGCAAATTGCATGAAGCTCTAGGAAAAGCCTGTGGAGTGTGGTTATCACAAGGCAATTTCAAGTTCTGGACATGCTAGAGATGGCCACTCGCACAGATAGCCAAAAACAAGGATTAGGGGAGTAATGGAACGTTACTATTCTCTGAGTTTTATGCCCAACATGATGAATGTTCACAGGTCGGCCAGAGTCATCAGTCAGTCAGTGTTTACATACCAAGTACGTGTACTATGCTGTATGCAGGCTCCCGTAGGCCATCGTGGTCATTGCCTTGCACAAGTTGCAAAAGGTACAGTACCGTGGCGTATGCACTGTCGACATGTCTGGTGCATCGCACAGGATTCTACAGCGATAGTGATACTGTTTCAGCATGCGCGAGAACTGCTGTCGCGGTCACCGCTTTTCATCCCAGCACCTTTGTGTGAATTCATCTTACATCGATTTGATCTCCATTTTCAATGTGACGAAAATTAACGTGCGAATTAAAGCCCACGCTCATAGAAACATCAGTATTTCCACGAACATCTCTGTCACGACACGTACGACCTAGCAAACACTGTAGTGTAGGTCTTATGAACCTTTCTACCTTGCTGGGTACCGGGTAGACACGAAATTCCGTTAGTCAGTTTCCTCAGCAAATGGGTATACTTCCAGCACGTTAATAGGTGGGAGGGAGCAAGACTTACTTGACATATTGCTCGACTCGAAAGAAGTCTATGCACCGCATTACGCAGTTAATGTCTGGCGCACACATCAGAGGACTACACATCACATAGGTTCATCAAAAGAAGTTAAAAGCTCGTGACATACAAGACATGTTACCCTTAATAAAATTATAGTATGCATGGAATGAAAATCATCCACCCTAAACGAAACAAAAGGTGACAACAATTAGACATTCTTGTCAATGCCACTGGCGCCAACAGGGCGCAGTGTAGGCGGATGAATACTACTGAGTTTGACCGGCGAACAACCGAACAACGACGAAGCTACATGTAGGAAGCTTGACGTCCGTTTTGTGGTTTCGTTGGGACTACAGGGTTTCTCCACGTCTATTGTTCAGATCACTTTTTCTAATCTACCGATGTCCCAATTTCATATTTTTGCACCCACCCTCTTTTCTCTGCTGTTGTTATGAATCGAAAAGCTTTAAATGCCGTTATGCCAAAAATTTAGCCCGAAAATATAATCCAGTGTACCATTAAACTGAAAAATTCAAATGACCTCTTTTTACAACCCTGTGACTGCTTTGATCATGATCTGAATGACATAACTTATTTTTCTTTTTTTCTTCACTCAGTTCTTGCTGGATCATTGCCAACCCACTAACTGTAAGTTTCGTTAGAAATGCGTTTAGAATAGAACTTGAACTTAATTTTCCCGGCGATAGTTAAAACAGAGAGTACGTTTCCCCTGTCGCGGAACAAAATACTGCTTTTTTAAACGGTCTTTTTTCAAGGCTACATAAATTCGCCAATGGCGTATCCAGCTTTTGGTCAGGTGTGTGCGGGGGGGGGCTTCAGAAGCAAAGCTTCGATCGGCCTTGGTCGGCCCCCATGAGATGTTTGGGGGGGGGCAATATCAAAAGCCTTCCTGTCCCGACTTTCTTGCATTTATGATTCCGTGGTGTTGTCAGGGTTTTCAAGGGCTCATATTTGAGCCCCTTACTTACTAATGTAAAGCAATACAAACAATGATCTGACTTCTTAGTTGTGACTGGTTGACTGTTATAACTTCTCTGACGTAAATATTGCTTTCAATAACTTTAGGGATGTCTTAGATTCACTTATCAACAAGCATACGTCTACTTCACGAAGGAAACCCTTGTCGAGGAAAGTAGTCCCAAGTCTCCTTGGCTTACTGTTAAGTTATGTAAATCCATTTATCATAAAATAAGCTTTACCGTCGGTATGTGTCACATCGTATTGATTCTAATCCAGCAAAATAATGTCTAAACTAATGTTCTTCGTGCCGCTAAACGCAAATAGTATTCTAACCAGCTTAACAACACAAAACCAATAATTAGCAGTAAATCTCAGTCTAAAATCCACAGTATTGATATCGACGGTGCAACTATTGATGATCCACACACCACAGCCAATCGGCCAGTTTTATAATTACTTTACTACAATAGGTCAAACATTGAGTGATAAAATTCCCCCAAAACTCAAGCGTTTTCAAACTTTTTATCAAATCCAAATCCGAACTCTGTATCCTTTGCTCCAGTTTGTGAATAGGAAATTATTGATATGGTGTCTAAATTACCTCACAACAAAAGCACAGGTCACGATTTAATGACTAGCAAACTGATCAAGGAAATTATTTGCTCAATATCCACGTCCTTAACCTACATTATGAATTTATCAATCTCCGGGTATATTTCCTGACCATATATGAAGATTGCTATAAAGTTACTTCTAATCTGGCGATTCGAGAACGGTAAATAATGAAAGGCTATTTTCAATTTCAACCACTTTTTCTAAAATTATTGAACGAATCATTTATAATTGTACAATCAAGTTTATAAACGATTGTAAGATTTGATCTGACACTCATTGCGAAAGTCATTTAACATCTCATGCCATTATCTACTTGATTGATAAAATTACAACTAGGCCTGATCTTGATTAGTCAGAAAGTATACTTGGAATATTTCTGGACCCCTCCAGGGCCTTTGATACCATTAATCACGATATTCTTTTATCTAAATTGGCCTATTATGATATAAGAGGCACTGCACTCCTTTCGAATGGTCCAAGGGTTATACCTCTCAAATCAATACTTGGACCTCTTTTGTTTTCTATTTATATTAATGAATTCAACAAATCACCAGACCTATTTTCATTTATTATGTTTGCCAATGACAGCAATCTTTTCCTTAGTCATGACACTATTCAGGTATTAGGAGAAGTAGCCAACCGGGAACTGACCAAGATATCTGAATGGTTTAAAGCTAATAAATAATCTCTTAATATAAGAAAAAAAAACTAGTTGCATGCTGTTAAGTAACAACCAGTGGTCCCAAATACAAAATATTTATATTGACAATACAAAAAATTCTGTATTCTGACTCTGTAAAATTTTTGTAATCTATGTTGATTGAACATTGTCTTGGAAAACACAGGTAATAATATATGTACAATTACCTCAAGAAATGTAGGGGTTATCAGGAAGCTTAAGCCAAGTTTCTCTCAAGAAGTCCTGTTTATGTTGTATAATGCTTTAATCTTGCCGTATTTAAACTACGGGATCCTGGCATGGGGAAACTGTGCAGCAAAATACATTACTGGGATTCTTAATTAATTACAAAAACAGGCCATGAGAGTAATAAATTTTCCCTCAATGTTTAAACATTTTAACACATTTTTCTTCCAACAAAAAAAAACTTAAAGTTTAGCAACATATTTCTCTTCGAGCTTGGGGCCTTCACGTATCAATTAAAAATAATTCCCACCCAAGTTCAATTATGCAAATGTTTCAACGGAATGGATTGTTATTTTACTCGACAACGGGGTGGGTTTTACCGTTCATATGCAAGAACAACTATCTTTTTTAACCAGACCATTCGACACGAGGGCCCAGAGCTGTAGAACTCATTACATAATTCACTTACTGGTACTAGCAGCCTCTCTTTATTTAAATCTAAATATTTATTGTCTAAATTCTTGAACGACGGACTTATTTTTGGTGAATCAAACGCACGGCTCAAGAATTGTCACCCGTATCCAGACATTACTTACCAGGGTTGCAATATTTCTCCATAACTCAGTAATGCTATACCATTGTATTGATGTACATCAACATGTATAACGTAGTTTAATATTCTAAGTAACTTAATTTGTGTCAGGGGATCCCTACTCGACAAGCTCTGCTTTTTGGGGATCTCCATCTGCATTTTGTTTTAAATACATCAATACATGTATGTACATGATGTGGTAGAAATAATAATTATAATAAAGGAAGAAATAAATAAATAAGGCCTAAGGTATTATTATTAGGCCTGATATTTGAAAAAAAAGTCCTTCATGTGGCAAGTCCTCCCATTACCGCTGCATACGCCACGGATTACCACAAAGGTGCGACTGGCCCTACCGCATCATCATTTGAATAGCCATATTAGCAAGTGTAATAGCGTGAAATTGACAACTTTTTTGGGAGGGGGTGTAACATAATTAGGGGCGGCTTTCCCAGGCAACTTTGTTGTTAAATCAAACAAGGACAATTGTTTGGCTGTTTCATTTTCTCTCCTTCCGAAAGTGGGTATTAAGCCCCAAACTTAGCCTCATCCCTCAAACAGGAAGAAGGTCGAAAAGTAAAAACAGTCACCGTCTTCGCCTCCAAAACAACTTGGGCTCCCCCAAATGAGTTGGCGATCTGCCCTTGAATGGAGCATGGAAACGTAACTAAGGAGAGATGGTACACGCCCCCCGCTCACTCGAGACGCTATAGCCTTTTGCCCCCACCCCCTGCTCAGAAATTTGAGAGGCAAAAGATATCCGTTGATGAAAGTCTGCCTTTGTTGGTGTTTTTAGCTGTGGCCAAACCCACTGAGTTCCCTCTCCAGCTTGAAGGGCTCTCTAAGTGCGCTCTGCAAAATGCGTGATACCCCAAACCACAGCTACGGGGTGAGTCGGCCTATTGTACTGTTGGGCAAAAGATCTAAACGCCGAGTGAAAAAAGTTGTGCGCGTCACATTTTCTACAACCGCTCAGAGGCGGATCCAGGATTTACCCTGGGGGTGTAATCCCATTTGGGGGGGGGGTTGTGGACGAAATGCCCCGGGAGCGCGTAGCGCGAAGCCAGCCTATACGGCGTAGGGTCCAGGGCATTTTTTGGATTCTAGGCGCTCTGTGGTGCATGTTTAAGTGGTATGACCCCTCTTTTCTTTTCTTTTTTACTTTTCTCTCCCTCTTTTTCTTCTTTTTTAATATATTTATTTATTTATTTATTTATTTAAATAAAAAAGGGGGCCGTACGCCCCCTAGACGCGCTCCTGCTACATGACGCAAATTTGCGCAGCATGAGAATAATTGCGGTTTGGTAATCTGTTTGCCAAACACCTTTACAGATCGTGTGGTGTCACTGTTTCTAGCGCAAACCCTGAGATTGATTCGGAAACAAATCGGGAAGGCTCCAAGCCAACAATGCCAACTGAGTTGGGGTTAATGTACGCTATCTACCAAATTGAGCGATACAACCATTTTTTAAAGATGCATTTACACCTGCATTAGCATTTCAGTGCACTGAACTGCTGAACAATGCCGATGCTTTCTTTGAGTGCAATATGCTCCTATAAGAAAATTCTCGTCATTTCAGGCAAAACCCAAACTACGAAAGGACAGTTTCCGCAAAGTATTTCCAGTCAGGCTTTGCCAAGGACACGTGTGGTACGGTTTACACACAGAATGCTTCAGTAACAATTTACGCAAGGAAACGAAAGACGCGCAGATTCAGTTCATATTGAGGTTTCTACATCAATCGAGCAGCAAGGCATTCCAGGCTTTCTGAAACCGTGAGGAAAATGAAGCTTCTCAAACTATGACAAATGAACAAAGGGAGAACGTATTAATAAGGAGGTGGTGGTTTTGACTCTGGGTGCGCATCTCAGCAGGCTTGAGCATTTTTTGTTAGGACACCAATATTTTGTGTGGACAACACAAATTTAATTATCTTTGAGGGGTAAACTTATACGAGGCAAGATATGGGACGGAGGGGTACCCCCTTACCTGTCTGATCCCTATACACACTCTAGACTATTGTTACCGAACACATCTCCCTAGAAGTCTGTAAAGAATTCTAGAGATTCCGATCCAACAATTACCAACACAAAGGCGGGGGGTTTTCTCCGTCCCATATCTTGCTTCAAATGGGTAAACTAGACTTTCCTTCCACTTAAAAATAATCTTTATTTTCCCATGCCAACATACAGTAAATTGTTGCAAGGATACTTTTACCTTTGGTTCTCTTATCTGGTAAAATGTAAAACACTCGAAAATTCGTTGACATTCCAAACAAATCAATTAATAAACATAACAAACACACGCATACCTGTTTTACATACAAAGTGTGGTCATTCCTTTGTTCTCCTGTGGTTAAGGAAACTTGAGGTTAATGCTCCTTTTTCTCCAATTAGGATAACTCCTTCATCCTGGAATTTCGATGATGATTTCCTGGACTGTTCCTCTTCATTTTGCCACGATAACCTTGACCCTTAAAATGCCTCTGAAACTATTTTTAAGAGAGGGAAATGTTTGTGTGGACGTTTGCGAGTCCACACAATGCCATCGCACCCTACATTATGTGGACTTTTTGTGCAGAGGTCCACACTGCGTATGCCACGCCTGCACACACACTAGTATCAGTCTCGGGTATCTCACAAACTGAACAATTTGCCACGTTTTCATGCAGCATGAATTCGATTTGGGCAATCCTTCACTGGGTCTGTGAAATGTGGCAACAATGTGGGAGTGCAACGATGTGTGTGCCTTGCTTTATGCATGAGAAGAGAATTTAAAGCGCAGCCAAAACCTTTCTGCAGCAACTTTGCCGCCATACCTTCAGTGTACTGTGGAACATGAGTATGCAGCAACTCATGTCCCGCGATTTCTGAACTGAAATGATGTACATGTACTCCTTTTTATAATAATTTATCCCATTTTAAAACAAAAAAGTCAGATTTCAAATTGTAAATCAAACACAAAAGCCATATTTCACAAAAATTTAATAACAGTGGTATGTTAACTATTTGATTCCTTTCAGATTCTTTAAGGCCATTTACAAATCTACACATCATTAATTAAACAAAGAATGCCCAATTTATTTGCAGGTGCATTACTTGTTCTCATACTGTGATCTCAAATGATCGTGCAACATACAAGGAAACACTAACATTTTTCTCAATGTGATGATGATGACAGCCAGTCAGCGTGACTGGCCCCAATTTTTTCTCCTTCTTTGGCTGCAGAGGCAACGAGGCCTCCCTGGTCGAGTGTCCTCGCTACAGCTCCTCGGGTGACCTGCCTCACTTCATTAGTAAAGCTGTGGGCATTACACATGTATGTCAGGTTGGTGAGTCCTCAATATCCATAACCTTAGCTCCCCTGCTCCATGAAATGGCATAAAATCTCAGACTTCAAGAGACCAGTTGATTTTCTGTGTAATTTTTCGGTTAAGGTTAGAAAAACTTTGGATTATTCATATTGAATACTCCGAATGTAGTAGGGCTGAGTCAATTTAAACAATTCACTATTCGAATATTCGACCTTCAGTTCGATCGAATATCCAAAAAAAATCGGTCGTTCCGACCGGCAGATTATTGATGAACAAACCATATACCCAATCAGTTGCAATAATGCACACAATTGTACAGGTGCATTATAATCACTATAATATCTTCTCATGTCTAGGAGCACCAGTGTCCATCTCCAGCTAGGATTTAGCCAAATTTAAGAGACCAACACTACTTCTTGCCCTGTTGAAAATTTTTATTCCTTTTAAAATTTTTTAATGAATAATTATTTTCTTAATCGTAAGATTTCTGTTGTTTTTCATTCTTTCATTCATGTCGTTTTTAAATCTGCTTAAAAAAAGCCTCCATAGTGCAACTTTTCTCATTCAGGGAATTAAGTAATTTTTTGTTTAAACATGACAGGAAGCACTGAAGCTGACAGTTGTCCTGATTTAGGGAAAGGCTTCACTCTGACCAGTTTTAACCAGCTGTCTATCTATTGTGTTTTATGACCATCAAACACCACCCACAAAACAACCTCTCGACCCATTAGAATACCTTGTAATGAGTTATTTGCAAATGACCACTGGACTTCTCACAGAACAATAAAGAGGATTTTCAGTCATAAGATTTTTGACGGTCAGCGATCAATTTACATGGATGTGTGCGGAAACGCCTGCGCATTTGATGTCTTTCAATGTTCTGACGTACATGTACATGAAACTACCAATAGAGATACACAGATTAAAAAAATGTGCAAACTTCCACAGACGTGGTATGTTTTATAAAATGCCTTTGCCCATCGTGTTACATCGCTTGAACACCTCTACATGCACCAAAAAGTGCTGACCCCATGAGTTTGCACAATAGATTACATTACAATTACTTGAAAAAGATATCCCTAGCTTTTCATTTCCAAAGGTTGCATTCATGATGGTTTCATCCTGTTGTATCGTCAACAAACCTTCAAAGTTTCACCCATAATAAACTAAAATAGAATTCCTATTCTGACTACATTCTAGGGCGGTACCAAATATCTGAATATTCGATCAATTATCGAATGTTCAAACACTATATTCCAAATTTGAATATTCAAATTCAAAATTCATGACAAGGGAGACTTTTCTTTTGTTTTGCTTAAATGAGAAAAGTTGCACTATGGAGGCTTTTTTCAAACAGATTTAAAAACGACATGAATGAAAGAATGAAAAACAACAGAAATCTTACGATTAAGAAAATAAATTATTCATTAAAAATTTTAAAAGGAATAAAAATTTTCAACAGGGCAAGAAGTAGTGTTGGTCTCTTAAATTTGGCTAAATCCTAGCTGGAGATGGATACTGGTGCTCCTAGACATGAGAAGATATTATAGTGATTATAATGCACCTGTACAATTGTGTGCATTATTGCAACTGATTGGGTATGTGGTTTGTTCATCAATAATCTGCCGGTCAGTACGACCGAATTTTTTCGGATATTCAATCGAACTGAAGGTCGAATATTCGAATAGTGAATTGTTCAAATTGACTCAGCCCTACTACATTCAGAGTATTCAATATGAATAATCCAAAAATTACACAGAAAATCAACTGGTGGGAGAGAGTTGGATCAAATTTGAGACTTCCACATGAAGCCTTTAATAGCCTTTCTGACCAGTGAGGCTAAATTTTAGACCTTTTGTAAATACTGTGGAAAGGAAGGACATCAAAATGCCATCTCAGAAAACAAATTAACTTATGGCCCCCTTTTTGGGGGAGGGACATGGCCTCCTGAATCCATCAATGGGTCGGCTAAAGGGACATAAACGAAGCTGTCAGGGAAAAAACAAAATCAGAGATGAGGTGGGCATCACCAGCCCCCTTCAAGTCTGTCATTGGACAAAGTGTGAGCCTGAAATGCATATAAAACTGCTTTTCCCCCAAGAACTACTAAAAAGCTTTTTAAGATTTCGTTTACAGTGGTCCTGTCTGTCAGTACATGAACTAAGTCCTTAAAATTTACGATTCATTTGTTTTGACCGAGCATTTTGAGTTTTTCTGCTGATGACTGTAATTACATTGACAGTGTTTAACCACTTGGTCAAAGAGGGGGAGAGAAAGTAACTGGGCTTAACCTATCTGGCAGGACACTCTCACTGCATAGTTCAAGGGATACAGATTTGCCCCATTTGTCCCTAGACTCCACGTTGCACAGTCTACCAGCTTCTCTTCGTTTCCGTTGCCGCTCACATCGATCAGCGAAACCCACCGAGGTGTGGGCTGTCCTTCCTTTCTCTGGAGCAAGGTGTAGGACATGTTAGGCCCGGGCAGGCCCAACTCCCAACAAACGACGCTGCTCGCAGAGGCTGTCCACCGGCTGATGAACAGCACGTGCCATTGGCCTCTGAAAAGTACCTCTAACAGCCCTTCTTGTTCTGTTCTTCCACCGGCCAGACGAATTGGGAAATCTTCAGCTGTAAAACATCCAAGCAGGAGCACATGATACAAGGTGTCAGCATGGCTTGGCTGTAGCTTGAAAGCACATGCAACTCGATGGGACAGCCGTCAGCCACCACCTTAAACTCATGCATAATTTGAAGCAACAGCTGTGTAATTTGGACAGGGCTGAATGAGCCAGTTCGGTATTCCAACAATACCTAAAATGATGGGCGGACAGGGTCATTTGGCAACAGCAATGTGCCTGCGATGAGGTCCTATCAGTGAGGCCATACGCTGACTCCCGTGTATACTCTGTTCTCGAATGAACTTGCCTTTTTGACTTGAAATACCAACCTGGCTCATCAACTTTGCTCATCAACCTGGCTCATCAACTTTGCTCATCAACCTGGCTATCAACATCAGAACTCGACCAGGAGACACCACTACATGTAAATACATGCAATGTTTTTGTAACTAACTGCTTCGAAAGTTAAATATACCATAGGTTCCCACACCCCTCCCCCCAAAAAAACAACACAAAAACAAAATCTTACAAATGTACCTATTTGGCATGACACACTTGCTACATGCTGATTTTTACACGTGGAACCCCATGCTGGAAATGCACAGTCACTTAACCGGCTCTCATTTCCGTGGCAAGCGACATTCTCCATCAACACATGACCGGTCCCCTGGCCATAGAGGCCCAGTTGTCGACAGACGACACTGGCATCGGCCGCATCCCAACCTGTACTGCAGACACTTCCCCACTGGCCATTGAAGAGGATCTCAACCCGCCCTTCTGTCTCCGAGTCCCCACCCACAAGTCGGACTGGATGTTCATCCTCTGTACAAAACGAGATAAAAGTCTGAAATGCACAGTACTCCATCCTTAACTGTTCATGATGTCTAGGAAATTTGTAAAAATGCAACTTTCCCAATGTTATGAGCATCATGGCACATTAAGATCCTCAAGCTATGTATCTCTACATGTAGGTTAAGACAAGAAAGTTGGGATAAATGCTGATCCAATTTCAGAAGAGAATGTGTACTCTGAGTTTACAATTCCCCATCACTGATTATCAGAACTCATTGACAGACCCGTTTATTACATTAATTCTGGCTTTTGCCAATCAGTGCACAGCGGAACAATCATGGCAATGGTTGACCATCAGTGAAAAAACACCAGAATCATTCACAAATTTTTCACGAGCATTGGCTGATTGGCTGGAGAACTGTTGAACTGGTGACCGTATACATGTACTAACAGATATTCCAGTCCAACTAAAGCATCTCTCCCTATAGTCAGGGCAATGGGGCAGTCTCATTGTTACTGTGCAACAGTTACGGTGCAGCAGTTAAGGATGTCCATGGCCATTTTCCAAAACTCACCTTCGGCTCCGTCTCAGGCTTCAACTTTTTTTTTAATTAATAGCTGACTATGAAGCTGTAAGTGCAGTAATCAGTCTAATAGTGCCACAGAACATCAAATAAGATGCAAGAGAGCCAAAAATTACAGTGTAATGTAATTTAAATGCTTCAAGCCCACAATCAGGGATTGGTTTTGGGAACAAAGTCTGAGACGGAGACGAAGTTGAGTAATGGAAAACGGCACAGGTGTTCTTTCACCATGGTAAGCATTGTAAGAGGGATGTCCGTGTATGGTATATATGCCACAGCATTTGCCAACGTCATTTTTCTTGTGGATACAAATCTGTATCTGTGATGAGGCGGAGCCACAGATATGTGTTACATTTATAGCATGTCTGTGGGCGGAGCAGTATGGAGGGCCTGAATGGAGCGCCCTCACAGAGGACATGTTTGTTATTTTGATTTAATGACAATGAAGTACTACAGTGTCTACTCAAGCATTTAACACAGGAACAAAGACCTGTCCTCTGTGAGGGCGCTCCATGCAGCCCCTCTATTCCGGTCCATCCAGCTGCACATGCCCGACACTGATGCATGTGAAACGTGTCTGAGGTCATTTCGGCGTGCGAGCGAAATCTGCCCACGTAGCATCAGAAAGTGAGAAAATGTCCTAAACTGAAGTCAAATTCTGTGAGGAAAAATATTGCAGCATTTACTTACAACCCAGAACTTTTCAGACTAGTTCCGTCAGGCCTTTTGTGCTCAGGTGTATGTCTGTGCAACATGCGTATGACCACAGAAGAATCCCCTTCCTCCATGATGGTATGACACGTACAACCGTATGAAGAGCCATCTACCTGCAGGGCCCTATGAGGTACTACGGTACTGGTGCAGACCACTCATTCAAGTGAGAGTTTCTGGCCAGCTCATTAGCATTAAAAGTGCCCCCGCAGTATCTTTTGAAAACGGAGATTGTTTGGCCCCCAAAATGATGAGATTGTGTAAATCCGTGGCAGGATCAACTTCTTGGGTCTTTGAGTTTTCATATGAAAGCAGAATGGCTAAAAAATGGTCCTAAGTGGCAGTGCCCCAGAAAGTTGAGGGTTGATGCCACTTGAAAAATGGCGCAATCAGACTTCGGAAAAATCACTTTTTAGGGGTGATTTTGTTTTGTAGGAATAATTAAAAATGTAATCAGTTAACCCACTAAAAAATTGAAAAGAAATTCAAAGATTAGTGACCAGACAAGAATTTTATTTGTGTTTCAGAAATCTGAGGCATGTTGGCGCGCATGTTATTGGGCCCTGAACAGTGCTGATTTTACTCTGTTTTGAATCGGGATTCAATTAGTGGACTGTACCACTGGCCCTACGTAACCTAGTGTGAAATTAGTGGCACACCTATCATGATGCGTAGGGTACCGGTTAAATAGGGTTTTTTGAAATACGGACCTGCCGGGCTCACTTGTGCCAGCAGACATGGCGGAATTTGGTTTTTATTGTGTGTCATGGATGAAATACCAGGTGTTGGCGTATTTCTTTACAAATTGTGTCAAGATCACGCAGGACTGAGCCACAGCGGCGTATTAGTTGGTCTCGGGAAGCGGGGGGGGGGCAAATCCTGACGAAGCGAATGCGGCTTCACTTTGGGCTTATATAGCCTCACCCACAGTCCCAACATCCCTTTTTAATTATTTCGTGGTGTGCTTTTTTCTTAGGGTTTTGGTGCTACTATTTGATAAATAAAATATTTTTCCATTAATAGGCTTATTTGATCTGTCGGGGGGGGGGCAAGTTGCCCACCTGGTTGTAACTTGTCCCCCTAGCACCCCGCTGGATACGACACAGCTGAGCCACAGAAATTTGCCGACCAATTTATAATTGTCAGGACTGTCCCAACTTACTCCTAGAACTAAAAATGTGGGGTTTGTCGTCCACAGCATGCAGCACTCGAGTCCAGCGGCACAGTGTACGAGGATACATTAACTGGAGCATAGGGCCTAACCATGATCAGACCATGATGGTGCATTCCACTAAATGGGTAGATTTCTACGCGCGAGCTCATTAATATTTTGTGATCCCATGGGGATTTTGCAACAAGAGGTGCCATTATCGGGAGCGATCATAGAGATATTCATAAATCACGACTTTGGGACTTCTGGCGTCCAACTCGGCGTATTTTGCACTCAAAAACCTCCAGCCCGCGGGCCTAATTTGCATAGAGGCGGGCGGCTACATTGAGGACTCTGGGCACAGTTTTACTCCTATTCTGGGGTGTTTTCGGCAAAGGGCGAATAAAAAATTCGCGTGGCTAATCCCTATAAAACTTAAAAGAAAGCTTCTGGTCATAATCTTGAATGTTCAAAGGGAAGACCGAGGCCAACCTCTCCTTGAAACTGAGAGTCACCAGACGGTGTTTCTGTCCGATTTTTCACTCTTTTCTATGGGCGCGTATTTAAGGTGTGATGCAACCTGTAACATGGTTTTTTTTTTTGTTTTTTTAATATGTAGCTCTATGGTTGTACCTGATTGTAAGAATAAACTTCTGTGCTGATGCCACCATACTTTGATTATGGGTTAATCAGTCATGGTTAACGTGTGTTCTTTTCTGCATAGCTGTCAGCGTACCAGTAAGCCCAGTCCCACTGGCTCTGTACAAAAATAGGACCTCCAAAAAAGTAGCATTGCAGCAGTAGGCTCCTACATTTTTGTACACACAGTGGTACACGGGACATCTTTCTACAAAAAAAAATTAACTACGTAGCCCATGCTGAACCTTACGTTGTACCTCAGTGTCCTTATTGAACAACGTCTAGCCTGACTGTGTAATAACATGTTAATGCATTGTGATTCTTTGGATGAATGTTCGTAGTGTTAGTCGATTCTAGGCCTAATTGGTAAAGAGTCTATGTGTACGCGGCTAGCCACACACGCACCAATTGGACAATGTGCACAAGGAATGTTCCACAAAAATTTGTCAAAATTTAATATGTTCATGTTCAGCCCATCTTGCATCTTTATCCAAGTTACATTTTATTTATAAATAACATGATCACGTCATCGTTTATGCCATTTCACATACGTCAGTCTGTGTACAAGCCCGGTGTTGGAGTAAAGATTTTGATTCTCAAGGCCGGCGGTTGAATAAAACAAGTATATTTTGGACAAATTGTACGAGTTAAAGAAAAAGGAAGATATTATCTCGATTTTGTATTGTGTGTGCACGATCACAACTTTTCTGCAGGAATTCATCGTGTGCGATGCACCATGCCATTTCGGCCAGCAACTGTCCAAAATTGATGCGTTTCTGAATTTGAAAGGCCCATTCAGGTCCAGAAACAACTTGCAATCCTATGGGATTTTTCTTATTTCCTAATTCCGTTAATGGCTCGAAAAATGTAACGATGATCCCTCAGACCCCAACAGAAAGGATCCCAGATCTCAAAGATCTCAAAGAAAATGAAAGACTCAAATTCTTCCATGATGCGTTGTGTTGTTTTGTTTCATGCACATTGCGCACGCGCCGCATTTTGAAGCTATGCTATATATGCGCGCTCTTTTCGCTGGTGAAAAAAGGTTAAGAAATGCAATCATACAATATATGTTGTCTTTGCGCAGCATAGATAATTCACAAACAGTTCATGCACTGTTAGCTCGGCGTCCCTGATACTTCAGCTTGTTGCCACTTTGAGATCTGGGATCCTTAAATTAGGATATAGAAGTTGAGGGTATAAAGTTAACAGACCTCAATTCCCCGCATACGCATAAGCACAGGCACGCATGAACCCAGATAATCCTGGCCAAAATTGTTGGAGCACGTGCACTAGCCACACCCTCCCCAGGTTGCACCGACCATGGCCAATGAGACACAACATTGACCGGAGATGGGGGATGGGAGGTCTGGTCAATGTTTGAGATTTGGCTGGGTTAGATACAGTTTAATCCATGGCTTTGAATGGACACCCGCCTATTCTAGGGGTATCATTCATGATTGTGCAAGAACAACCCCCATAGGCCTACACTGGTTATGAGTCGATATCCGAATGACTGGTCTTGATTTTTGCTATGTTTCCGCAGAAGTTCTTGCGGAGGTTTACGACCACTCCAAAGACGGTATTGCCTCATGCCGTTTTCATGCATAGCAACTAGGGAAATACAAAATGGTCAATACTTGTATTTGATTTTTCTTTGAAACTTTTGAGAACTGGCAGGTAAATTTTGGCGGTATTCTGTTTTGAGTTCGAAAGGGGACATAGGCCTACTTGACTAAGTAACTTGGGTGACTTTTCCCGTGTCATTTTTGTAACTGGAATACTGATACTGGAATTTATGGCTGATGAGGCACGGATTAATTAGATAAAAATGACAACATTAAGTTTCAGTCGGACCCAAATTAAACGTGACGTGAGTTACCTGGGGATGAAAAACTGAATGAACTCTGCGCCGTGATACAGCGGTTGTATACAGCTTTTGGGGCGTGAATAGAGAAAAACTTTACTGATTTGACATCCTGTGGATTCTGTCTGTCATTTTCTGTTGTTAAAATTCTAACAACTATATAGAGATTGTTTGGTTTTTGCTTTGTTTTGCTTTTGTTTGATCGGTTTGGTGTTTGCATTTTTGGGGCAGATTTTTCTAGCCAATTGGCGTGACGAAAGAAGACTAATCCAATACAAGTGGGACATACCTTTTGTGAAAATTTCTTTTTCAAACTATCAAATGATTCCTCAATTGAAAGCAAGCGAAATTTGAAATGAATGGTTTTCCATCGATAAAATAAGGAGGTGAGTGTCGCCAGACTCTGCCACCCCTAGATCTGTTTCTCTTAAACCACCAATAAAATATATTCACTATATAGATACGCCTCTGCTTTTATATTGAGATCACTTATAGCAGAAATGGACCCGAACACGGTTGAGATCGGTTTTATTGTCAAACATTTCAGAAATTAAGATTATAGATTTTCTAAAAAGTCAGATCCATGTATTCAACCCAGAAAAATGCCTTGGGGTTTTGCGCTAAGGTAATTAAAAAAAAAATAGGCGAGGGAAAATCTAAAACTTATGTGGTGTTGACCAAGCATTCAGGCGCACGGACTCCTGAAATTCGCAAGGAATCGTAGTTACCGGCTTTCATATAGGACTCTTCTGGGATCTCGGGGTTCCCGGCCCAACACACTTCCTGCCTGCCCATCCATTTAACCCCCAAAAGGGTTCGAGCGGCCATGCAAGGGAGGAAACGAGACAGGCCCCTAAGCCCTGGCCGCCGAGTCGGCCATACGTCTCGAACCTGTACTAAGGCGCTCACCTGGACTGGACGGCTAAGGTATTAATTAAGCTAACATTCACACTATCCCTAACTCCAACCCTAACCCTACTATCCCTAACCCTACTAACCCTAACCCTATCTCGAAATCCCCAAATCCAACGCTATCCCTAACCCTACAATCCCTAACCATTTTATTTTTAATATGTTGACTTCAGTTGTCGTATTTTCAGTTGTGCTACGTTAATACATAGCAAAAACTATCCCTTTCTCTACACCATCACACTAACCCTAACCCGAAC